CTTTCTGCTGCTGCGCCCGATCTGGCTGCTGCTGCTGTTGCTGTTGCAGCGGCAGATGGATTGATTGATTGCCTGAAACAGTTAGCAGACATTGTCTGGCTGGCTTATTGCTATTTATGATCTTGATCTATGGATCGAGGGCAAAAGCACATGCGGCGTTGCCATCGAGCAGCCAGTGCACATGTTGATAATCAGCACGGAGCCAAAGTTGATAATGATGCCGTGGCTCAAAAAACTCTAGCTGGGAGCTGGCCTTGATTGCGGATTGGATGGCCCCACCCCCCGATTTATCCCAGCTTCGGAAAGTGCCTCGTTCATGATTGAGAACATTTTCCAAAAATTGTTGCACAAAAACCTTTAAGGGTAACTGGTTGGCTCGTTGCGGGTTAAAGAGCTGGTGGTGTTAAGTGCACGATAATCGATTCGATTCGATTCGTTGCAAGATGTTGGCGTTAAACGGCCAGAGCGCCAAATTGGCTATTTACGGCCTGGCTGGAGTTTCACTGGCTGGGCTCTTGCTGGCCGGAAGTCATACATTTGCATGTGAAGTATGGAAAGTATCTATTAGGTTCCAATCAAAATCCAAATATGCAGTAAAAAAACAGTTGGGAAATAAAAATGCATTGCATCACTGGGCCAAAAAAAAAAGAACTCACTGCGAATTGTAACACACCGCAGGGAGCACAGAAATCGACCCAAACTGGTTAACACATTTTGCCACTTTTTACAGCGTTTTAATTACCCGCGATAGCCGAAAAAACAGACGGCAAATTCAAAGTCAGTATTGATTTTTTTGTGCGTTTTGCTGCCTGACGGCGATCACCAAAAAGTCAATAAAAATCGCCAGGCGAACGCACACGAGCCAATGAGTTATCATTACGGCCAGGTCTCACTTACATTTCAGGTCAAAAACAAGAACAGCAACGAGTTTTATGAGATCTTTCTAGATGAAGCGCGGAACCCAGTTTTTAGCTTGATTAGAGGCGTTCACAGTTTGATTACTTGTTGAATGCTAATTAGAAACTAGTTGCTATTGAGCAACGTTTAGTTATTATATCCTCCAAATGAGCGTCTTTTGGCTGATTGGGCTTGCAACCCCTCTTAAATTTTTTTTTAACGAAGCTTTTGGGGAACTTCCCCTCTTTGAAACCGTCGGCAATTGTACTAAATGTTTTCCATAATCCCCATTGGTCTTTATGACTCCGGTTAGTTTGCCCCAAACAATGCGCTAATGATTTATTTAAAGCGCATTAATATTTTTACCAGAGGTCGGAATTCGGCATTCAGCACTTGGGAGGAGAATACCGAGGAGAACCGTCCAAGATTGCCCACTGGGCCGGCTGGGTGGGCGGTGTTGCTGGGATTTTTGGAGCCACAGTCGCAGTCGCCGGCACAGCCGCACCCCTTTTGCATGGCATTGGCAGTGACCCACCAGCAGCAGCACCACCACCGCCGAAACCAAGCACCACTGCGTACTTCCCGTATCGCCGGTTGCGTATCAGCGCCGCGGGTGCAAAACGAAATCGACATTTAATGTGCTACCACACAATTGCAATTGGCATTGGGGGCACTGGAAAGGGGGGGAGAGGCCCCAGAGCCGGTGGGGTGGGGGCGGGTAGGGAGCGGCCGATGCGGACAGTGCGGCAAAAGCGTCAAGAGCGACCAGTCCGGCGGCCGGCGCGTTTCCGTTTGAGTTGCGGTTACCATGATATCGCATATTTCAATCAATTTGCTTATTATTGTCGTTGCTCTCGGGGCATTCCCGTTAGTATAATAGACCATAAAGGTGCGCTTGAGATCGACACACAAAACACAAGACGGAAAAAATAAGACAAGGAAACAGAAACAACAATTTCACCTTAATATACACATGCCACAAGTCGGATCTCTGTCTATTGCTTCATACACTCGTTAAAGGTATTTCATGTTTTTTATGGCAAATTAACTACTTCTGGGAATAAATAAAATCAAATAAATCAGTGAAGACCTATGTAGGTTTCTGGTCAATTCAGTTTAAAACAGGATTTATTGTAACATCAAGATTTAAATAAATATTTAGATATTACAAAGGGATAATCTTATATATTTTAAGCTGAAATGTATTTAATTTTGGTAAGACCTTTATAAAAATTTACAAAAATTTATTGATTATTAATAGCTGGTTAAACAAAAGGGTAATTTTGTATTCGATCCAAACATGATTCTTATTCTTTTGGACCTTTTTTTGCATATTTGGTTTCTGGGATGTGTCTGAAGCGTGAGATGCGACCAAATGCAAATTTGCCCGGCACGACGTCTGTGACAGACACTTGTCAACGAATTTCTTTTTGTTTCTCTGCTGCCATTTTGTTCTCGACAAAACTATGCAAATATATGTCAGGGACATGAAGATGGAGATGCCATGCCGATGCTGATGCCGAGTCGTCATGTCAACTTCCCGACAACAACAAATGAAGATCAACGCTGGCTTATTTATTTTATTTTTATGTACCCCCGCAAAAACACATCTGTGTTTCCGTGTGCACGCCCCTGCAACTGCAACTGCAACAATCGGCGACTGATCCAAAGGCAAAGCTTAGGCCAAGTACTCTTGGCCAGGCTAGCAAACACTTGGCCAGAGAAACTCACTGGCTTGGCAAACACATTTTTCGCGCCCGAAAAGTGTTGGAGGCGTTTTGTTGTCCACTTAGAGACATGGGGCCGTCCGTCTGCTGCGGGATGCTGAATGCTGGATGCTGTTGCAGTGGAAGCCTTAGCTCAAGTTAAAGTTGCCGCAGCTAAAGCCGATCTTGCAGCAGCCACTAAGCGTCTTAGGCACACGTCAGACTGTCGCTTCTGTCTGCCGTGGCTGCCTTTTGTTGCCTTTTGGCGCCTTGCGGTGGTCGTTGTTGATTGTGGCATTTTGATTGATTTCTTTTGACTTTTGGCAGCGGCATCGGCATTGGCAGCCGCAAATATTTGGTAATCCTGCCAGCGAACAAGCCGCTTCATCAGCAATTTTAATGCATATCTTAACACCTTGGAATCGACAGTTGCTCATTGAGCCGTGGTTCGGCATTTTAAATGCCTGCAACTTTCTAACTAACGAATACAAAAAAGATAAGAAGTATTTGTTGACATCCTTCCTCCTGAATATTTCGCTTTTCGGTCTCTGTTTTTGGCCGCGCATTGACCATAAACTTGATTTCTGCGCACATACGGCGACAATTTGTCAGAAATTCTGGCACTTTTTCAATCCGTTTTCAGCGGTCCACGTATTAAGGTCAACGTCAGTGCTTAATTGAACACCTGGACAGTTGTACCGTGAAACCGATGGTGGGTCAACAGGTCTGCAAAATGACTCATAAGTCGAGCCCAAGGTACAGGCAGAATGGTTTTTTATTTTCGTAAAATAAATAAGGATTCAAGCAAATAAGATACCTAGAGAATGGCAATTAACAATCAAATAAGGTACCGAATGTAAATAACAAAAATATGGAAAGAAATTACAATAAACGAAATAGCATCATGTTAACCCAAAATCGTATAAATTATATAAAATATTGTATAAAATTCGCTGACAAAGCTTTACGAAAAAATTAAGCAAAGGATGCAGCCATAGCCATAGAGACACAGCTTTTTCACAATTCTCACAATTTTTTTTGTCAATTTATATAGTTTAAAAATTCTCTACTTTCAATTTAACGTAATTGTAATTGAAAATTATAAATGTTTGAAAAGAAAAAGTAAATATTGAAAATATATTATTTTTTTGGGAATAAATTCATTTAGCTTCTGATTTAAATAAAATGGGTAATAATGGGTAATGAAAATTATTAAAATAAAGTAAAAGAAATAAGTATTTAATGAAGAAAACTAATCATTTATTGAAATGCATGGGACAGGATGGACGACCAGTAAAAAAAACCACAGAATCAATAATAATCAATAAAATCAATAATAAGTTAAAATATAAATTAAATAAGAAAATAAATAAAACAAAAATAAGCATCGAAAACGAAACTCTCTACGAAATACCACAATTAATATAGAGGTGTATATTTGCAAACTAATATTTGAAAAAAAAAATATAAAAAAGAAAAAAATTAATAAATAATAATAAAATAAAAGAGCTCCATGTCGCATGGAGCTCAAGTGATTTATGATTGTGGCTGGAAATAAAGCGACCTGGTCAACAAAAAAAAGCCTACTTGATTATTTTATAAATTAAGTTATTACAAAATAATCGATTGTTCTTTAGTAATCTAGAGTTGACACATAACATTAAAACTTTGAAATTAGAATGGTTGGCAACAATTTCTAAAAACTTTAATTTAAAAGACGTTGTTCGTAACAGAAAACTTTATTTTGCATTTGGATCGTGTTTCTTACAAGTTGTTAGACAGCTTCTTAAAGTATATTACGTCTTAATGACTTCCTAACAAAAGCGTTCAAGCTACAATTGTGTTTTGAAAGACCCGCAGGTGAACTCCATTTGTAATTGAGATGTGCAATATTGCAACACATCATTGACAGCAACTGAAACGAAGCAAAAATGCATCTTCAGCTGTCAAAATTACAGAAAGCAGCTTGTTGGTGCCGATGTTGCTTTTGTGCCAGTTGCAGTTGCAGGTGTTGGATGGCTTCTTTGGGCAAATAGTGCAAAATCGTGAAATCAAATTTGTTCACGCTGCCGCCAGTCGATGTCTATTATGCGCTTTATGTTAATCAAAACGGGGTAGCAGTTCAGGCAGTCCTATCCAAAAAAAATTCAAATAAAATACAAAGACATCGAACACCTCCTCTGTCTCACTGGGCCACAAATTGTTGGTGCTAGACCTCTTCTTTGGTGTTGGATTTTACATAATTTGGTGAATCTGCTGCGGTTAGCTTGTTTCTTACATCGCACTCGGAGTTGAGTCGGAGTCTTATTTCGTGTCTCCCGTCCTGTCTTTGCGGTGTCTTCCTGGTGAACAATTTGCATTTGTTTTATTTGCCAAGAAAAATGACATAGCCAGGCTCTACAAGCTATTGAGAAAGACGTTAGTGTAGAATATCAGCAGCTCAATTCCAAACACTATGCCGGAGATGATGAGACTTATCCCGCAGATCCCCCAGCACAGCCGGAGGTCCTCGAACCGGAGAGGAAGCGGTGACCTCTTGAAGCTATAATCCTTGATGCTCATGCGGCCAGCCCGCACCATGTCATAGAAGCTGTGGATTAGCCACTGGCGCAGTAGACCGGACTGGGCCACATTGAGAATGTACTGCTTCAGGGAGTCACGGTAAATAGATTCCGGGGCGATAAGTATGCTGGCAGGCGAGTCCCATTGGAAGCAGAGATCCTTGCTAACGCGAAAAACTGGGTGATGAAAGTACCGTTGCTGAATATCGATTACCCGCCACTTTATCGAAGTAATGGTGTAGGCCCAGCTGGTATTGAAGAAGTTCCGGTTGTCGTATAATTCGTTTGGATTGTCCGAGAGGTGAAAAGCGGATGCGTACTTTGCCCGGAAAAAAGCATTCAGGAAATAAAACTCGTTCCGCATTCCAAAAATCTTTAGCCCCGAGGCCAAGAGGTCATCGAAGCTCCGAATACGTGGCTCCAGTGGAGGAAAAATCAGCAAGGATATCAACTGGGAGGAGCAGGCGCTCAGCAGGATTAATGTAAACATTCTCGTGACGAGCCTTATCATCCGTCCACGGCAGCTGATTCCCAGATATTTGACTGTGAAGGGAATACCCAGGAAAACTAAAAGGTATCCAAACAGTATGAAAAGAGCCGACCCTAAGGTAAGTATATGTTCGAACAGAGCTGAAATTCTTAAAGCGCGCTCTGTAGGCAACATAGTACACCAGTTTAAGAACATAAATGGATAACTGTAGTCTGTAGATCTGTCCTCGTAATTATACACAATCATTACTGTGGTGAGGCCAAAGTCAACAGATCCATTTCGAGTATACAGTATCATATAGTCGCTGGCTGCAGTTTTTCTTCTGGGGAAACTTGGATAAACCATATGGACGCCGGCGTTCAAGGATTGAGCATAAGACCCTAAATACTGCCAAAGGAATCCGGAAATTTGTTCGCCGTGACTCCCATAACGAAAAGTAGCTGGGGGTGAGAGATCCGGTTGAAGGCGCAGCTTGTAGCCTTTCAGATTCCTCAACTGGTAAGGAAAAATCACGGGCTCTCGGTCCTTCGAAACATGCTGCTTGATGAGACTGAATTTTGGAAAAGCTTGATAGCTGTAGATATGAAAGGAATCTTTCCAATTTTTGAAGTACACTACTACATTTAGTACGCTGTTTTTCAGGCAAAAGGTTAGGACTTCGGTGGCTCGCCACGAGAATTCTTCAGCATCCAGCTCGATCAATATTCGCACACTCCTGAGCCTAGTCAATGTGGTAATTAAGACCTCTAGCTGAGAATCGAATGAGTTTCCGGAGAGACAGGCCAGTACAAATATATTGTAGCCATGCCGTCTATTTAGTAACGGATAGGGTTCGTTATCTTGCCAAATAATTTTAGGATTTTCAGTTACGTTGGTCCATAAGAGCATATCCAATTCGCATATGCTAGTTTGAGGATTAAAATAAAACACTGTGCTCCCTGCTGGCACTAAAAACTGCAGGACAAGGCCATAAAGAGCGACCAGATCCGGAGCGGGACTCCAGCTAATGTTAGCCAACATGGCTAAAACCGATGCCGTTTTAGACTAACTAAAGGTCTGGACTTTGAATCAAAAGCAACCCTTTTTCTATCACAGGCACCGTTTACTTTGGGAATCAAAGCCCTTATCAACGATTATCGCACGTAATTATCCACAACCATTGAAATTATGGTGACATTAGTTTGCTCAGATGTAATCGTGGCTTAGAGGCACCCCTCCCTGGGGAACTATACGAGTCAAGGCGAACTGGATGTTTGGCTAAAGTTACGATTGCTCGTATCTGGAAATGTCTCTGCTGGCATGTAAAATCCATAAATTCCTGACCTTTCAACTTGTGGGCAAGGCAACCGCAACGCGGGCGAAAACAAAACAAAATGCAGCGAAACAAAACCGGAGAGAAAATACGACAAGCCGATCCCAGAGGGCCAGCTGCAGCTGTAGAATTTTTAAGCCGAAATATTTTAACTTTGTATGGTTTCTCTACCAAAAGGTAGTTCAGTATTTTAAGGTCTGTCACAAAAAAAAATTAAAAGATATTAATATTTTTTACACAGTTCTTGGAAAATTCAAGATTAAGCTATGATTGATTATTATGTAATTTTAGCCCTTTAGGGAAAGAGTCTCATTGCTGCGTTATAGTAATCTTTGGCTACCGACTTGTTTGGTCTGCCATTCAAAGTTCAGGCGGCTCCTCTTTGCCCAGCCATGGGTTTTTATTGTCGGTACAGGCTTGAGCCTGATCCTTCTTGGCAGCTGACAACACCCTCGCATCCGTCTTGCGGAGAAAGTTTTGCGGTCTCTGGGTCCAGCGGACTGATTACTGATTTCTGATTTCGGGCTGGGCATGCGTGTGTGTATTTTCTACTTCACTGACCCTCGCTGGAACGGAGCGTTTAATAATTTGAAGCAAATTATGAGCAGTCGTCCTCCGCGACTCACTTCCCTGGCACGACATGTCGTGAGGCTCAGCCGCTTTGCCTTTAATTTCTCGTCGATCACGGCCACATAATTCATTGCCAAAACTTCGTGTTTGGGAAAATTTGTCAACCAAATCGTGGCGCTTCTTGTGTGTCATAAATTGCTTTCGGCGTGCCAATTGTCTCAGCCAGCAGAGAGCAAATCTAGACGTCGATTCTTCTCCAGGTCAATAGAACGGTGGAGTTCAAAAGGCCCAAAGCTATCTGGGCCAATTCATTTGGCCAAATGTTTGCCCAGACTGCCGTTTTATTTTTCTTGTGTAATGTTGCAACTCGCTAGACATCATTGACAGCCGTGAAATCGGAACGAAAATGTATGTATCTTCAACTGTCAAAAATATAGAAAAGCAGCTAGTTGATGTCGATGTTGATTTTGTGGCAGTTGGAGTTGCAGGTGTTGGTTGGCTTCTTTGGGTAAATAGTGCAAAATCGTGAAATCAAATTTGTTCACGTTGCCGCCAGTGGTTGTCTATTATTCGCTTTATGTTAATCAAAACGGGCCAGCAACTCAGAATCATGGATAGATTTTGCGTTGTCCTACCAAAAAAGTGGTAAAAAAAACAACGAGGCCCCCAGACACTTGCGATTCTTCACTCTGAGGCACTAGGCCACAATTTGGTTGGTGTTTGCTGCCAAGGCTTTACATAATTTGGTGGATCCACTGCGGTTGTCTGGCGGTGGCTCATCTCGGAGTCTCATTTCGTGGCTCCCGTCGTGCCACTGCGGTGACTTCGTTGGAGGTAATTTGCATTTATTCCGTTTGCCCTCAACTCTCGAGGTGTAAGACGGTAGGCAACTATTCAACAGCATTGTTAACTACTGTCTCCCCCAAAGAAAACTGCTATTCGGGGGCCCTTGTCACCGTCACGAAGTGAAACACAAAGTTCCCATTTGTTTGTTTAACTTGTTTATTTAAAGGCAGGAAATATGGGGGGATGGGACTGCGGGAGTGGGTTGACTTTATCGGACACCATCGCCCTAATTGCCGCGAGGACAACTAAAAGCCAAGCCAGGACTTTACCCAGCTAACAATTAGCTCAAAGGTAAACAGAACGAAGCTAATTAGCATACCGATACAGTATATTAGAAGTACGTGGCTCAGATCTGCTATGGTTAGTGCATGGGCCCGGTGTCGCAGCCTTAGATCCTTGATGTCTATTCTTCCAGCTTTCACCATGTATGAGAAGCCTCTGGAGACCCAAAAGTTGAATAAGCCAGATTGCCACAACTGCATAATGAAGTCCTTGAGCGGAACACGGTGAGGGGAGTTCTCAGGAATAGAAAGTCCAAACAGGACCATTTCAAAAAAGCATATATCCTTGGAGTAGCGAAACAAGGGTCTGGAGCTTCGTTTCTGATGCTCCTCAAAGAGCTTCCACTTGGTGCTGGTGGTGGTATAGCCATAGGATGTGTTTAACGAGTTGCGCGTTGAAATCAGAACGGTGGCCTTATCAATTAGACGAAATGCGGCGGAATACTTGGTTCTCAGGGTGAATTCCATTACTTTGTACTCGTTGCGAAGTGAAAGGATCCTTACCGGGGAATCGATTAGGTCCTGTAGGCTGTGCAGCGGCGGTAAGGCAGGAGGAGCTGCCAGAAATGTTAATAATTTACTCACGTAGTTTGCACTCACCAAAACGACTAAAAACTGCCATCCGATCGTTTTTAGCCTTCGATGAAAGCGCCAACGTCCTTTCAAAATTTGGTAGACAATCCATAGAGCCACTATGAAAGAAAAGGTGATAATGGGTGTCACCCTGGTCAGTATTTCTGACACATTAAGATCCCTCTGCACTGGCAACATTGTGCACCAGCTGGCCAAATCAGCCGGATATGAAAACTGATGAACATCAACTTCAGCCATTGACATGGGCTGAATGCTGGCGGACACATCTACGACCCCAGTTTGGGCCACATCTATGATTTCAACGTAGTTCAGGGTCCTGCCGTCTGCGTACTTATTAACAACTTCCAGGCTGGCATTGCACTTTCGAGCATAAGCCTCCATCATGTCCCACAAGTAACCCAGAATGTGTCGATGGCCCTCTTTGTCCACGTAAAGAAGCGTGTTTGGTTCAGAGTAGTCTGGCATGGTTCGAATCCTGCCTTCATGAAGATTCAACATCTTGTTTGGATAGAGAGTGGTCACCTTACTGTCTCCGCTGAAGAAATGAGTCGTGATTTTAAATTCCGGGTAGGCATCATAGCCATATATAGTTGCCGTCTCATTGAAGTTGGCAAAAATTGCGTTCACATTATTCATATCTTGATTCAGACAGAACCGCAGCACTTCATTAACTAAACTTTCGTCTAATTGCGTGCTCAACTCAATAATAACCCGGGCCTGTCTTCGGAACCGCAAACTCTTTGATAAGCTGGTCAGTAGATCCTTCCATCGCATTTCCGGCAGACAAGCCAACACCAACAGACCCTCTCCAACAAATCGATGCAACATTAGTGGTATTTCCGAGTGCCATGTTATAGCAGGCAGGGTACCGATTCCACTTGAAAGTGTCTCCTCCAAAGAACATTTTTCATCTGATGGGTCGAAATAAAAGGCGCTGGTGAAGTCCTCATCACTGCTTATCAATGAAACTAAATTAACGACCAACTTGCTGTCAAGTTGCGACATTACTGGCGAGCTTATTACTTTATCGAAGGGTTAAGGTAATGCCCACTGTTTTATTTACTGAAAAAGTACATTTTGAAGGTCTAGTCTATATATTCCAGGTGTGTTATTTTTAGTGACAGGTTTGTATTTGCTGCGGGAAAAGAAGTAGTGTTATTCATATTGCTTTTCAAACAAATACCTTCAACTTATCATGCAGCTATTTACTTAAAAGCCAACTTAAAAAAAATATATTGGCCCTGCCATGAATTCTTTCAGGAAGCTTGCCGTAACTTTTTTAATATTTGTCCGATCAACGAATGTTTTACCTTCCCGGTCTTATTTCTTCGAGTACTATGTTTATAATTCAAAACCTGACGAACTAAAATTTGTCCCAATTTTCGGAAATTTTGAAACGGGTCACATCATGATTTAGCCAAAAATTGATGCAAAATTGTATTTTCTAGTTTTCGAGATATATGGATGCAGATCGAAGGCAATTGAAGCCTTGAATTTAAAAAGGTACTTCTTTCTCCAAACCGACATAAAATATCTTAAATATTGATTTTAAATTGTCTTAAAATTCCCACTTTATCCATCCCATTATCTTACCTAGACCAAGGAGGTTCTCAGAATTAATTTATTTCTAGAATGCACATTCTCATAGTTAATTAATTATATGTGTTTGTTATTTTATCCGCTTCCACTGCTTACAAGTTGTCTAACCAAACATTGACATGGTAAACAGCCAACTCGATGAAAAAAACGGTCAGTGACGTCGTGAGCGCCACCCCATATATAATGAGGACATACTGCCAGTCCGGCCAACTAATCGGCTGATAGTGGTGGGGTTGGCTCTTGTCCTCCAGACGAATACTACCGGCCTCTACCATTTCAAAGAAGGATCGGCGGTACCAAAAACGCAGTAGCCCAGCAGCGTGCAGGCGTAAGATAAACACTCCCAATCTGTCGTGATATAAGCAGTTTTCCCGAAGGATAAGTGCGAAAATCGACAGCTTCTGCACACAAATATCTTCTGAATAGCGAAACAGAGGATGCCGGAAGTAGCTTTGGGCCTCGTTGTAGAAAAGCCATTTGACGGAAGTCACTGTGTACGCGTACGTGGTGTTAAATCCATTGCGGTGTGTGGCGACTTCACTAAGCCCGTCCTTTAGCAGAAAAGAGGTGGCATACCTGCTGCGTAAGTCAAAAGGATATTCGGGAAACTCTGCTCGGATGCCCATTATGCGAACACCCGCTTGCTCCATTTCCCTTATATTTTTTATATGGTTAAGCTGCTGGGGCGCGATGAATAAGGCCGAAAGCTGGCCCAGCAGAATGCAAAGTAAGAGCAGGTGAGTCATTGGTTTCACGATACTAAACAGGCGAGTTCGCAGTAGTTTCCTTTGAGCCAACACGCTGTGGGCGCCGTACAGGAGGAGCAAGTATAACCAGGACCAGGGTGTCTGCATCAGCCTGCCCAGTGCCTCCTGGCTGCTTAGCGTTCTTTCCATGGGCAGCATGGTACACCAGCTTCCCACCATTCCCGCGTAGCTGAATCGGTGCAGGTTACTGTGCACAGACGTATAAGGACGCAGACTGGCGGCGATGTCTACCGTATTGTTCCTCACCAAATCTAAAATCTGCGAGTATCTTAAAGTGGATCCGATTCGGGGAACGGATACCAGATGAATAGTTCCATTCAAGTACCGGACAAATTCCACAAGCAGCTTCCAAATGGGACCAGTAACTTTAATTTCTCCAGTCGGCGATTTCCCGACGATTGTGTGCGGTTGCGAGTTGTCGGGAATAGTACGTATAGGATGTCCTCCGTGGTTCCCCAATTTTGGAGGGAAAAGTGTAAGACCTGTCTTATATACCTTCTTTATAAGCTTGAACTTAGGGAATATATCAAATGTGTAAAAAATCTTTGATTTGAGGAATTCTGTCGAAAGGATAAGGACATTTATCATTAAATACTCCAGGCTAAGTTGTAGAATGTTTTTAGCGGAAACTTCTTCCTCGACTCCATCGTCAGATTCACACAGTTGAACAATAACAGGCACATTTCTCATTTGGTTCAACATTACCTTTAAGGCATTCAGTACCTCCCTGTACTGAGAAGTCTTAAGACAAACTACTCCAAGCAAATCCAAGTCCTGGTGGTGCCGTAGATAATGTGGATACTCGTGATCATCCCAGACCATTGTGCTAACATTGCTACTGGCCAGAAGATCTTCCATCCAGCAACTGCAGGAGTTTAGTCGGTAGTAGAGCAGCGTCCGGTGTCGGCGTTCAGTCCTCAGATGACTCCAGAGCTGATGGATAACCTCAGATCCACTCCATTTGGAGCTTTCCAACGGAACTTGCGACAGCATGCCAGACTGGTGGAATAATGGTTAGTTAGAGGGTGGGTCCTGGTTTTTAAGGGCCAGTCTCTGTGCTCTGCTTTTATTCTGCTTAATTTTACGGTGTCAGCATTTTTAAGGGCTGACTTGCAGAACCCTTTGGACACCTCATTTGGAATGCTTGAGTCCCGAATACAATACTTTAAGCGCCAACGCACGAAAGCAAAAGTTAAGACGCACAAGATTGTGGCATGTCTAACCTGTCGCCAGAATGACCCAAATAATCAGAAGAAAAGCGCAGGACATGCTGAGTCGAATAAAAGGTACCCTGCTTAAGCTAAAGTCTCGTTGGATTATTTCTGAAAGAATCAAATGATTTTGCGAGGTAGACCCGTGCCAGACAGTCTGGTGCGCAGAAAAACAATTACTGCCCGACGGACAAGAGACCAGCGTGTTGACAATGGTCAAATGGCCGGGCCAAATGTGAAGATGCAGCTGGGGATCGGCGAACCCGCGAACCGGCGACCCCTTCGCCGACCCCACTTGCTTGCATACCAGCCAAACGAATTGTTGTGCTTGCAGCACTCGGCCGCACACATTTTCGAATACACCCACTGCTGGTTGCAGGTTGCTGGCTGCAGGTTGCAGGTTGCAGGTTGCCGGCTGCCAGTTGCAGATGCACATTGGGCAGCACTTTGCTGGCTCCGCACAAGACTGGCAGCCATGTCCATGTCATCATCATCATCATCATCGCTTGCAGTTGGAGCTGGTGTCGTCGTGGTCGTGGCACTTGTTTTATCGTCATTTTACAGGCATTTTTCATAAATTACAGTTTATTGTTGTTTGATAAACGGTCAGCGGTGGGCGCTACTTGTATTCTGTGACCAGCAGCGACACGCAAATAAAAGCCAAAACAGAAATTACTGTGGTTTTATTGTATTAACATCGCAGTCCCCCTCCACCGCCGTCTTCTCGGAACTCATACGGCTACCAAAATCATACTCATCGTCGTTGGCGTTGTCCGTGTTGTCTGGCTTGATAAAGTTAAGCGTTGACATCTTTATGCCCATGTGTGGGCACTGAACGAGGTCCAAACCAATCCGAATGGTAGTCATGTAAAATGAGGAATAAAAATCAAATTTGATGACCATTGTTAATTGCTAACGAAAAGCCTGAGAACTTTTTCCCCATCGAAAATATCTCACTCGAGACGGAAAATGATATTTGAACATTTTTTGTAAAAATTAATTACACTTCTGGATTAATTTCTTTCAATTGTTTTGGAATAGTACGTAAAATCCAATACCCTTAGCTAAAAAGACATCTCCCGATCCTGTAAAACCTCCCCCAGAGATATAAGCGGCGCTTAGCAAAGCGAAAGATACGAACCGTAACTCACCCACTTATGATTTACGAGCTAAGAGTTGAGGCCCCAAGGCCCGGAGGCTCTATGGGCTTTTGGCGTGCAAATTACCAATGCAAATATGCATCCGCAGAGTGTCTATCGAGGGGATAGTGAAGTGCGGTGGCGCACTGAGATTTGCATAATTTTATGGCCACAAATTCCACTTAAACAACTTAATTAGATTTCAAAGAGCAGCCAGCAAGAAGAAGAAAGCAAAAAGGCTGATTTGAAGGCACTTAAATAAATAAACAAAATTCGAAAATGGAGAATGGATGGCATGTCCCTTTGGGGCAGCCGTTGCTTATTTATGTACGTGGCCAGCGCCATTTTGGCCGAGTCGCGATAGTCGATTATAGCCCGGTCAACTGACTTATCTCCCACTGCGGACTACGGCCGACTGGCTAAACGGCAGAAAACTGGCCACCAGCCAGATCTGGATGTGGTCGGGATCGAAACCACGCCAACTTGTGGCCCCGGCCGTCCACCATCCGCGATCTAATGGCAGCTAATCTAGTTAACAGTTTTTCAATTATAGACGATTTGGTGCAGCTGATAATAAATGCGATAAAACATATTTCAGGCCAACGACGCCAATTGGCCAGATTACATCAGAGATTGTGGCCCGGTCTGGGCGTAGTTCGGCTGCAATTGTCAAAACGATTTGGCCCGGCCCGGGCTCATTTGTTAGCCGCCTATTTGGTGGCTGCGGGCGCTAATTGATTTGCCAGCTTGTATGCGCCAAAATCGGATCATTAAAATCTTAATTAGCGACCGGCATTCATTAGGGTCCCGCACCGCCCTTCAACTCGATCCGAACGAGACCCTTCAATTAAGTCTCCCCATCGATCCCGAATCGTTGGCCAATTCGATTTGTGAATATATAGTCTAGAATTGCGTATTGAGAAATCACGTCACCTCGGGGGTTATGGCAAAACTATCTCAATTTTTTTGGCAACAAATAAAATTAATGAGTAGTGCACCGCTAACCCAGTTCAAGTGGCTGGCCAAATGTCAGTGGGCAATTTTTTGATAAATGTGCCACATGGCAGCAGCACAACAAGCCACCGAACGAAATCGAAAATGAAAATGAAAATGTTGCAAATGGACCGGAGTAGCCCCTCCTGTAAGGTTGCCAAACGGCCGTCACTGCCACATCAAAATGATGCCCTCGATCCGTCGCGGATCAGCTCCAGGCTCCAGATTAGTCCGTCCTCGGCCAAGTCGTGCACCGTCAACGAGGAATATGTCAGGGTCTGGGACCCCCAATCCAG